TTCCCCTCCCGGGCTCCAGCTGCGCTGGGGAAGCGCCAGCCGGGGGTGCAGGGTCTGGAGGCTGCCCGGCAAACCGTAAAGCCGGTAGCGCTCAGGCAGCCCTTTTCGCGTGGCTGGGAGGGAGGAGGGGGAGTAAGGGCGGGGACTTTGGGGAAGGGGCGGGGAAAGGGCGGAGTTGGGTGGGGTCGGGGGTGGGGTCGGGGCGGGGCTAGGGCCCGTGGAGTGTCCTTTTTTTTTATTTTTTAAATATGGTAACCTTACAGTATACAAATTGTTCCAGCACCCCTGGGCTGATTTTCAGTGGAATCTGTGCACAGGTCCTAATAACACTTCAAGGGCCCTGAAATCATCACCGTCTTTCACAGCATCACAGTAATGTTCTAGTGGGGTGTCACCACACTGCATTTGAGAGGTGATGATATTTTGATAGTCAGGGTGATAACATGTCAATGAAGCCTTCAGACAGAGGCATCACTCACACTCCAGCTTTATGCTTTCACACAAGTCATCAAGCCCTCAGACTTTCTCTAAAATGGCATCACTTCTGTCTGTTCTGCAGCCCTAGGTACAACCAGCTGCTAAAGTGTTTAGCAAGCCGGCATGAGGCAGGGCAGATGGGTTTGAAAAAGACACAGCTGCTGCTCTAGCTCAGGCTGTTTAGGTTTGTAGAAACATTTAGTTTCGGGGTGGGGGGGGAAGCAAAGAGGCTAATAGTTATCATTAGTAGCAAGATCCTTACATCAATTACCACTTTAAATCCTCCAGGGCTGCTTTTTTAAATCTTTAAATAATACAGAACTTATAAAAAGATCTTTAAATACTTTTCTGAGCCACTTAATTAATCATTATAAATTATTTCAGTCCTATATGTGTCCGGCTAGTTTTCTCAGGATACAGCCAGCATTATGACCAACTCTAGGCTGATTACGTTGTGGCGTCAGTGAGCCAGGCATTACTTGAACTAATACCTGAGCTATTCCCAACATTTGTTGATGCAGGAGAAGATGAAAACTCATGACAAAATCAGTTATAATCCGAGAAAAACTGTACCATTGTCTGCAGCATCACTGCAAAACACTTCCATCACCCTAATTACCAAATGCAGAATTATTATAGGCACTGGCATTGCCAAAGTTACAAAGTCCAAGTAGTACCAGCCACAATATATTTAGCCTAGAATAAACTAAATTGATGGCCAAACCCTGAGAATAACAGCAAGACATACATAGCTGGCTAATTAAATGGAATTTTATCATGACTCTCTCCATGCTCTATGGCAACAAAGGGTAGATTTTCAAATAGGAATTATTCCACCTCTCAAGTTTGTTGTTTCTCTTAAAGCCACACCTGCGGGAGTCAAATGATTGTATGATAATCTCCGTTTTTGAGTATAAAAAGTAAGTTTCTAGCCCTCACAATTGCAGAGGAAAGCTTGGAAACATGAACAGGGTGCCCCCCTACAGATACAGGAAACAGAAGACAAAAAGAACCCAAAGTGCATTTTTTAATCACGATTTGAAGCTGTTCTGGTATTTTCTTTTTGCATGCTTGACTTATTGTTTATAACATAAGGAGTTGGCTGCAAGATGCACCTTTGAACATCCCGCTCTAGGCACTTCCCAGAGAGTCTGCGCAGACTCACGCGCTGCCAGCGCTGGCGCGACCAGACAAGCAGCCACTAGGCAGGGCAAAGTCGCTCCCTCAGATTCTGTCAGACCGTGCTTGAGGATTGGCTGACGGATATAGGCGTAGCGAGCGCTGGATGGTGATTGGTTGGCGATTGTCAGTGGCTGTTGTTGACTGGCTGACGACAGAGATTCGTTGGAGGTTGATTGGTGGTTGGAAATCGACTGCCAACTGCTGATTGGCTGTTGGGTATCAGTGAGGGTCATTGTGTGATCACGGTGTACAGGCCCTGGCCCGGCAGGGCAGCTAGTGGGGGGTTTCCCCATTACCCCCCCCCCCCGGCCGCAATGCTGCTGGGCGCCTTCACGACGCTGCTGGGGGCGCTGTTGGTGCTGAGCCGCAGCCCGATGTTCTCCTGCCTGCTCACGGGCGGCCTCTACCTGGCGCTGCGGCTCTTCAGCCTGGAGCCGGTCTCCCTGCAGCGGGCCCAGCACATTGTGCAGCCCCGCGGCTCCGCCGCCCGCATCGCCCACCGCGGCGGCGGGCACGACGCGCCCGAGAACACGCTGGCGGCCATCAGACAGGTCAGCCACCGGGGAACCCCCCTCCCAAGTCCCCTCGCGGGCCTTTGGGACCCCCACTCTCCCGGGGCTGCCTTTCCCCAGGGACCTCTGGGATGCCCCCTCGAGCCCCTCCCCCTGCTAGTACACCCCCACCTCCTCCTTACTGAGCCTGGTGCACCCCACACTGCCTGCCCCCAGGAGTGATCCCCACCCCCAGAGGTATTGCTCCGTGGGGACCCCGACCTTTGGGAGAGCCCACCCCTTCCAGGAGTCACCAGGCACACCCAACTGACCCCGATGCCTCTGCCTTAATCTCTGGGACCCACCGGAGCCCCGTCCTTTTGGGTGCTAAGGGTTACTGTTCTTCACCCCCTGGACCATCTACTTTTCCTCTATCCTTGGCTTTCCTGCCCCCCCTCCCCTTTCCTCCTAGAGCTGTACCTACCTGCCAGGGCCATGGTTCCCAAACTCTTTACTAACGCCACCCCCCCAACTGCATTTTGCCACCCACCCATACGTACATGTACCCTCTACCCTGGCACTGCAACCCCAATCCCAGCCTGGTTGGGGGGAGGCCCTGGGAAGGGGGGGAGGTTGGAGAGTGAAGTGGTGGCAGTTTTTGTCCCATGGGGCTGGGCCCTGCTCCCTGGCTTGGTGACCTGGCACATGGAGTCACAGCACCATTCAGGAGGAGCAGTGAATCAAATTTGAGTGAGTGGCATTGTGGCCTAGTGCCCCTCGTATTTGGCAGGGCAGTCAGCCAAACAGGAGTGGCACTGCCACTCCGTGTACCAGGTTGCAATGCCCAGAGTGGGGAGCTGGGCCCAGTGTTGCATGACAGGAGCCCCCATTATGGGGTGAGTGCATAATGGGCTTATTCTGCAATCTTTCCTCACCTTCGTACTGGGCTGGGAGAAGTGTATGTTTGCCTAGGTCCCTGTGACCCATCTGGAACTTTTCCGCAACTCATGACCCACCCTTTGGGAAACACTGTTCTAGGGGTCCTCTCAGCTGGAGGTGCCTCCCAACTTGAAATAGTCAGTGGTGGGGAGAGACAGACAATTATGGACAATATGACATTAACAGATGCAGGGCTATCCCAGCTGCTGCCAGGATGGTACTGGGGCAGGCTTTCTGCTACTCCCACAAACTCCAATTTTGGGTCGTATTTGGAATAAATAGTTCTACTTCCATCCTCTGCTTTCAAAGCAGCAGCAAATTAAACTGGACCAAATTCCTGTCGTTTCACTGCCTCCCTCAGAGGTCTGAATAACAGAAACTGAAAGAGTGGTCTGTTTTCACTTTGCTGTTCTTTGAGAAAGCTATGAGCAGCAGAAATAGGTATGTGGTAAATACTTTGTATTACTCTTTTTGCTTTTAAATGAGTTTGGCATAGTAGCGAACAGAATAATTCA